AGGGTAATTTAAAAAAATTTTCTATACCGGGTGAAGGGCCACCTGATGTAGAAAAATCACTTTTACATCGGGTGGACCTTCGGCCGGTGTAAAAAGTGAAATTTTTACACCGGGTAAGTCTACTCGGTGTAAAAAGTGTCAAATACTTTAACATAATTATAAAGATGCTACCACCTTAATTTTTTACATCGTTTGTCTTCCAATCAATGTAAAAAGTAACTTGTAAATTTCATATTTTGTACTAGTGAAGGGATTAAAAAGTTACTTTATAAAATTAAGGAACTAAATTAATAAGGGAAAATTTTAGTTTACACCTTTTGACTAAACATAATAAAAAGAGAGCCCTTTAAAGTTTGAAATTTTATTGCAAACCAAGGATAATGAAATCAATTAAAATGAAAATTAAAATTACCTTATTGTCCTTAGTGGCTTGAGCCTATTAAAAGACACTTGCAAATTTCATATACTGAAGTTGTTCATTTTTCATATTAAAGTGGTTAATTTTTCTATTAGAGTTATTTGTGTGCATAGCTTCATTTGATTTTATCTATAGTGCTATTATCATGATAAAAAAAGTTTCAAGTTGTAACATTCGGGGAAAATTTAACCCCAAATTAGATGAGTAAATGAGGATAATTAAGTAAATTTATGTGATATGTGATTATAAAGAGAGCTAACGAGCGTTTTGAATTGTGTTTTTAGCCTTAGAATTGAGTTTGGAGTGAAGAGGGGCTACCTAGGCATGAAAAAGTAAGAAAAATAAGGAAAAATGACTTTGTACCACATGCCATAATGTTGACACACTGGCCATCAGAACACGAAATAGCCTTCTATGTACCACACACTGAGGTGCATGGGGACAAGTGTCATGGTGCAGAAATAAGACATGAACAAACAAAAAAATCAAAAGAGAAAGAATGAGAAAATGAAGAAGCTTGCCTTTGCTCTGCTAGGGATTTGACTTTGAGAAGGTTTGAGCCATTTAGAAGCTATCAAACTTCAAGAGTAAGTCTTATAACTTCTTCCTTTTCCTTCCCTACCCATTTCTTGAAGTTGTTGGTTAGGGTTTGATAATGGAAAGCCATTTTTGGTCTATATAGGTTATGGGCCCGAACCCATTGACTCAAATGGAGTTAATGGAAGTTGTTTTGAGTATTTAAACCTAAAAATTTTGGGTTAACACAATAATGGTAGTTGAGAACCATTAATGTCTGAAAATAAGCATTAAATATGAAATTATAGAGGTTGTTGAATCATTAATAACAATATGAGATTTTAATGAAGCTATTGGGAGTTAAAGAGGGTTAATAAATGGTAGACCTAAATGTAAGAAGTAAAGGCATTGAGTATTTTAGAAATGAAAATATAAGAGTTGAAAATGTGTTTTCGATAATGTTAATTGAGTTTGCATTTGATTGATTGTAGATTAATCATCTGGGTACCATATTTGGTTTGGGAAACAAGCTTGGAAGCATATATTGGGGGATAAATATTTAATCTCTTAAAGGTTTAAAATAACCGAGGGAACCTATTTTAAATAGTTATTTATTAATTGAGTTTTAATGTGAAAATGAGTTTATTTGCATGTGTATTTGAACTTGTAAATGTAAAAGCATGTTATAAACCATATATTTGAATATTAATTGTGATCTTACATAAAGGTGGAGTTGAATTTGAAATGAATTTTCAAACTATAAATGTGTGTTGAGATAAGAACTTTATGATAGGTGATGTGATGTTAGTGTGCTTGTGTAGCGTGTGAATGTTATATGTGTAACTAAACAAAAAGTTAAATTGTGCTATGAAACTTAAAATTAAAAAGGAGAATGCTTGTGAATATGACATTGATGCTCACTTGGGTAACATTATAACGTGATCCCAATGTGTTGTTATTGAGTAAATGCAATAATGAAATGATATTGTACATTACATGATCTAGCAGGAGTTCGCTTAGGGAGAAGAGTAGATAAAAATTCATATGGTACTTACGGCTAACTTCCAGTGCACAAAGGCCTAGCCTTGTCCCACATTAACTTAGGGTATATGACACTTCAGAGATTTGAGAGTGGGAGAAGCCATAGTTCGAGAGTGAGTTTTGTGATCTTTAGCTAGGTCATACCTTACAATTGGTGAGCTTGGGTAGTTTAGTCACATGGACGAAGTCCCATTTGATATTGTAACCTATGATTTCAGTCGAAAGATATAAGGAAGGTATAAGGTGAAATGGATCATGCATATAAGTATATCCGACGTATCGTATGGTTATTAAGTTTGTGGTAAATTGTGATAAGTGAATGCGCTATTGTCACGAGGTTGATGGTATTATGGCAATGAGCATTGAAATGATATGTTGGGTCATTGTCACTATTTGAATATATTGTGGCAATGTACCTTGTGTTTTGATATGAGAAACATGAGAATTAAGATCAATGTGAAATTGTGATTGTATTATGTATGATCTCTTATTTTGAGTGATTAACTTGCCTTTTATGTGCTCAAATCAATTAATATACAATTGCATAAGATATATGTACCTTGGTTACTGAGTGGCTAGACTCACCCCTCTCTTTCAATATTTTGTAAGCTTTAGTTCTTGTGCAGAAAGGAAAAAAGCTCCAAAGGCTTAGAAATTTGAGATTCCTATTGTAAAGCCTCTTACCTAGATTTATTTTGTGCAATAAATAATATATTATCAATTATAATGTATTTTATTTACACTTGCACTATATTGTTGTTAAAGAATTTGAAAATTATGTTTTGGGCTTTGGAATGTTGTACGTAAGTTGTTAAATAGTTAATAGAGCCAAAAGACTAATGTAAGTACAGTAACTACTATCATATTATTGAAATTGATAATGATTGGATTATGTAATATTATAATCTCTCCCTTTTGTTTTTATTATCAAAAGGGTTGAGGAGCGAAAAATTATTTTTGTTGAGTATATGTGCATGTAGTGTGTTGTATAGGTAATTCTAAGTCCATTAAATATAGTTTGGGTGTTAGGAATGACTTTTGGTATATGTGTGGGGTTTTGGATACACTTGAGTTGTGAAAATGATTTGAAAATGTGTTTGGGTGTCCAACTTCTTTGTGTGACTTAATTAGTGAGTAAAACTCATGTCATTAGCTAATTTATAAGAAGAGTTTTGTGTAAATACCTAAATCATCTCACTTGAACATTAGAAAAATAAATGGGGCATGTTTGAAATTGCCTCAGGTTGCTGTCAAATGATAGTAGAATTGTTATTTGATACGTGCAGCAGGCTGTAGCACATAGTGCCTGAGCCATGACGTGCGGTATAGAAAAGGGAAAGTCACAGTGGATGTGCACATGTTGCGGTGCATTGCCCTATTTTTCAGAACTTGTTATTTTTCAATTGTTTTTGAGTCATTTTACTCCTTCGAGATATCTCATACTTTTAAAATATTATTTTACTCTGATTTGAGATTTATTAAGGGATGTTTTCATGAAATTAAATTTTGAAAACTTGAAATTCCATTTTTATAATATTCAAGCTTGATAATCTAAAAAGGAGTTTAACTTATGATTACCTTAGTTTGTGTAATCCATTGTATTTCGTAAAGGAGATATTTCACAAGTTCCCCATATTCTAATTGTTTATTGCTCATATTGAAGTGATTATTTTTCTTCTAGAAGTTATTTGCATACATAGCTTTACTTAATTTTATTCTTAATGTTGTTATTATAGTAAAAATTGTTTCAAATTTTACATATTAAAATTGTTCATTTTTCAAACTAAAGTGGTTAATTTTTTATAAATGTTGTTGGTGCGGAGCTTCACTTGTTTTATTCAAACTGTTGTTATCATATTTAATAAAGTTGCAAATCCTCAATATTGAAGTTGTCATTTCCTATGTTGAAATGGTTAATTTTTCTACTAAAGTTATTTGAGCATATAGTTAATTTTTCACTAGAGACAATGTGATAATCCTAGTTTACATTTTAATTTCATTTCATTACCGTTTGTCTTTAGTGAAATTTGAGACCTTAAAGGGCTCTCTTTTTATTATATTTGGTGAAGGGATCTAAATTGAAATTTTCCCTTAACCTAATAATTATGACAGCAATCCGTCTTAACAAAAAAAAAAAAAAAACCATAATCCCTCAATTTGGACTTCTAGCTCCCCATCATAACTAACTCTTTAATCCCTTATTCCCATTTTTAACTTTCCTTCCCTTCCAATCAACTCCTCATTTTTTTTTTTTAACAAATTAACCCTACCACTACATCCCCTTGTCCGATAACCAATCGTCCCCCATGATTTGGAAAGTTAGGTAATCTGAAAATATATGCACCGCGACACCAATAAAATCCTCCCTAACCCCAGAAAAGCGAGTAATGCAATATAATATTAATACTCGTCATCTTTTTAATTCTGTAAACATATAATTTCATAAATCGCATGCTTGCACATAAAAGTTACTATTATATCCAAATCTAAATTTTTATTATTAGTATTATATTAATATCAATAATTTAATATTAGCTAGCGGCGGTAAAGTGGGGAATTGTGGTCCGTCGTTTCGTTATAATTGAAGTCGGCAAAATCGGACCTTAATTACCAAGTTTCCTCGATTGGAACAAAGGTCCGACCTTGTGACGTGGGTGCACCTCCGCCGTCCATCAAATGAAACGGTTACTCTCAGTCACTTCCTCTATGGAGTGCTGGACAAGCAAAGCAATCCGACGAGTCGTCCGAGCTGGACCGGAAACGACCCCGGTTGAGGGGGGCCCTGACACGTGTCCTCATAGCTTTTCCACTTGTATCCCCAGCATTGCTAGATTCAGATAGAATGGCAGTTGGGTCAGGCCGGGCAGCCCTTCTTCCCTGGCTCTATCGTCTCATGCGAAAGCGGAAGAGGCAAGATTTGATTTTTTACAAATAAATAAATTATTAATTAATTAATTAATTAAAAGTATATACATATGTGTATATATATATATATATTAAATTAATACGTTGTTTAAGAGACAGAGTTAGCAACAAAAGGCGTGTTCCCCGCTATCTCAAGGAGATAGCGAGAGAAAGAGGGACAGTAACTCTTCCACACTCCCAACGCGTATTGAAGGTGAGAGTTTGACAGCAGTGATTTATGGCGATTTTGTCGAAGAATTGTCAATAAGAGATGCAGTCTTGTAGTACCCTAAGCATTCTTCTCAGAAAAGTCGTCGTGGCGGTGATTTTCGTGGTAGAGTCGGCGTTTGGTCTTCCTCTGTTTCTTTGAATTACTGCTGATCTTTTAGGAAGACAAGTTTCAGGGCCGTTCGGTGTTGTGGTTAAATCCTCTTTGTTGTGATTCTCTAGATTGGAGGCAAATTCTTTTCAAATAGCCGCGAAGATGGAGCGGTATGCCTGTACAGATGAATACGAAAAGCTCGTAATACGGATGAGCTCACCAAGGTCCGTCTATTATCCTTTGTCTTCCTTCTCTTGTTAGGATGAATCATTCTTTTTGGGTTTCTTCCCCTACCTTATTATAGGCCGTGATTGTGCGAATTGTGCAATGAATTTGCTGGAGCTGATTGTTTTTGTGCGAATTCATTGAATTTGATTGTTTGATTTATTGTTTGCCTGATATTTATGCACCTTGTTTTTGAGTGCTATCAAACTGGAATTCTGGCAACCTTTCTAAGTTTGAAGGAAATATTCGACATTGTTTTCAGAATATTGCATACTTTTATGCTCTGATTTCTTTTGCTTCGAAGAAAGATCTTTTTAGCAAAACGGAAAGTGCCATTGCAGCTTCATATTTCGTATGATTTCCTTCCTCTCGCAATAATGTGTGTTTCGGCTTTGATCTCTAACTTAAACATTATCCTGCTATCCTTGGTGTATTATGATCATAAGTTGTGATTATTAAATTTCCTTATTGTAATTACAAATAAGTATGCCAAAAAAAAAGGGATAGTATAAACAGAATGAATAAAACTTTTTTATTCCCACCGACTTTTAAACCTGATTTGTTCAACATCGATATTTTAGCATTATTCTGACTTTCATTATCGTGTCTAGCCTTCCTTCCTTCTTTTTTAGACTTTATTTTCTTCGCATCGAACATTTTGTGGGTCGCAAACTTGAAATCCGGAAATAAAAAAGTAATTTCACTTGGAACTTACTTGCGAAACAGGGTTGTGATCGACAATTGTGTCTGTTCCACAGCGACTCTGGTCAAGGTATCCCCAAATGAAAATCTTTCAAATTCGAGAACTTTTGGTCCTCGTGTCGATTACAAACTAATAACCTTTAATTTGGTCGAATTCACAGTTAGATAGCGCTAGAAGGCATGGTATTCTCTTGGATGCCATACAAGTGCTTACTGATTTGAACCTTTCCATTAAAAAGGCGTACGTATCTTCTGATGGCAAATGGTTTATGGATGGTAAGTTATTTTTCTTCTTCTTCATTCTGCTAAAACGCCCCCTGCAGTAGTGCATTCTGTCATGGGTTTATTCCCGTTTTTGTTTCAATCACTAATTATTTGTGGTTATTTGATCATCGACAGTTTTCCATGTTACTGATCAAAACGGAAACAAGCTAACAGATGAGAACGTTTTAAGATATATGGAACAGGTATTTAATCTTATTAAAATTGAATTAATTGGCATGTACCTCGTTAAAATCTAGGAAAAATATCGATTAAGGATCGTTGGAGGAAATTTGTATCAGTTAAGGATTGCCTGTTGTTAAAAAGTCGAATGGATACTTGTTGATTTGGATTAATCTTTTATCAACAAATATTCATTCGGGTTTTAACAACAATTTATTATAAATTAACAATGGTGCTTTTGAGTTTTTTTAATTCGGATTTTGACAACTAGTTTTTGACTGATATAAATTTCTTGTAGTAGTCTTTTATTGCTCTTTTCCCTAAAATCTATCACATGTAAGGCATGTGTAATTTTATTTAAAACATTTGTTTCTATGTTACTACAGTCACTTGGCAGCATTCACAGTGGGAGAACTAATATTTCAAATGGTCTCACTGCATTGGAGTTAACGGGAACAGACCGTGTTGGTCTTCTTTCAGAGGTATTTGCAGTACTAGCCGACCTACAATGTGATGTAGTAGAGGCTAAGGTTTGGACTCACAATGGCCGAATTGCATCCCTTATCTACGTAAGAGATTGTAAGTCGGGGTCCACCATCAAGGACTCTCAGAAAATCAACGGAATTGAAGCACGACTAAGGAATGTATTGAAGGGAGACAATGACATCAGGAGCGCAACAACTTCGGTCTCTATGGCTGCAATACACACCGAAAGAAGGCTGCATCAATTGATGTTTGCTGACCGTGATTACCAGAGGAACCCCATCTTCAAGTCAAGTTCTGATACTCCAGTAGTTACCGTTCAGAATTGGGTAGAAAGGGGTTATTCTGTTGTGAGTGTTCAATGCCGAGATCGAACAAAGCTTCTTTTCGATGTTGTTTGCAACTTGACGGACATGGAATATGTTGTATTTCATGCAACTATCAACACAACAGGAGATCAAGCATGCCAGGTAAACGCTCATTTTCTTGAATTTTATAATAATTGATTAATTAATTTAGTGGAGCTTTTGGTTTATGTATTTAACCATGCTTACATTACCACTTCAGGAGTTTTACATCAGACATAAAGATGGCACTCCAATTAGTTCAGAACCAGAGCGTCAACGTGTAATCCAGTGCTTACAGGCTGCTGTGGAAAGAAGAGCATCTGAGGTAAGAACATCTTTCTCTTTGCCCCCCTCATTCTTACTTGTAAAGTTGATATGCTTTGAGTTTTAAAACAACAACAAAAACATGTATTGTTCATATCCATGTGAGATTGAATAAAGTTTTACGCTGTCCTTCAATGGTGTAATAAATCCTCCTCCTTTATTCAGTTGGGACTGGCTTTAAATACAGAGTTATTTGCTTTGAGTTTTATATTTGAGATTAATGGGTAATTGCTTAATGACAGGGTATTAGGCTAGAATTATGCACGGAAGACAGACTGGGGCTTCTGGCAGAGGTCATGAGAACATTCCGAGAGAACGGACTGAATGTGACAAGGGCAGAGATATCCACCGTAATGGACACGGCGGCAAATGTTTTCTACGTAACGGACGCTAGAGGAAACCCAGCTGATCCCAAAATAATCCAGTCCGTGAGAGAGAAAATCGGATTGAGTAATTTGAAAGTGAAAGAATTACCCCTGACACGTCAGCAGACAGAAAAAGAAGATCAAGACGTAGGTGTTGGTGGGGCAGTGTTGCTATCCCTGGGTAGTCTCGTGAGAAGGAACTTATACAATTTAGGACTTATCAAATCATGTTCCTAAAAAAGCAGAGGGGGAATTTAGAAGCGTGCAAGATATGGGGCAACTTTTATACGGCACAAGATAGATATATATTCTTTCTTTGCTTCAGGTGGTGGCCTAGTGTACATAAAAAGCAAAGGTGAAGAATTTGGTGGTATAGTTGTTATTGTTAGTTTGGTTGGTGAGAGAGTTTGGCGGTGAATCCTGCAGCTGGAAGGGTTGCCATTGCAAAGTGTATTTAAAATGCGTTTTGTGTGGGAGTGTGTGAATTAGGACAGATGGGGATTGATGAAAGAGGTGGTTAGTTAGTGGACAGGTTGTGATCAGCATCGGATTTTTAGTGACAAGGACAGGTTTATTTAGTTAGGGCCACATCGATTCCGACTTTACACAGCACGCAACTTATTTATGTATATAATAACGACTTTCTCCGTATTATAGTGGTCCACTTCATTTTTTAAATTTTTTAACTTTTTGTTGATCATTTATTACGTTCATGCTTCCAATGGAATCTCCTGAGGTCCTTAAACTTGGCTCCACTGAAATACGGGATCTTGTCTTGGGTCATCTAAAATATAATAAAGTATTTCACTAGAGAAGAGGAGGAAGGGGTGAGAAAAGAACATTTTAATTTGATGAATTTTGATTTTCTGACTTTTTGTCTTAATGATTTATTTTTTATTCAAAAAACATACTAAATATAGGGTTTAGGTTTAATTTTATTTTTTTATTTATTTTTGAAGAGTGTTAGGTATTTTATATTATTAAGTGGGGTAAGTTTTTTAAATTATTTTTTAAAGAGGCAAAAATGCCCTTCTGCAGTTAGCTATTAAATATTCCATTTTCTGGTGATATGTCATCGTGTGGGACCTAACAAATTGTCAGAAAGCCAAATCCCCTTGTCCAACCAAGTCATCTTTGTCCTTCACATTTGTTAATCAAAATGGAGGGGGGCAGAGAGAGAGCGAGCTTCAATTGTTCTCTTCGTTCTCCGTCCTTTCGCCATTTGTCTTCTTCCCCTTTTGCTTCCTTTTTCATCCGTTGCCTCCCTTATGAGGGGACAATGTTGTATTTGAGGCGAAGATCGAAGGTCGCTTCCTTGTGTCTGAACTCAGTTGACAGGACACCTGCGTGAAATGATACAAGTGTTCAATCATCGTTGTCGGCAAAAGGGGCTGTTAGATAGTACTAATTACCAAACTTTGGGCTTCCAAAGGATTATCCACATCAACTTTTGTTCTTTCTTTTTTTGAGGCGAGGGCAAGAACGACCACCGCGAAGGAAACCACCACCACAAGACTTCCTCGCTTGGAAAGCCCAAAATCTAACAACACCACCTCTGGCTACCATCCTATTATTGAAGTGGCTTATGGTGGTGGCAACCATAGCTTTGTTCATGCTAAAAAAGGATCGATGACTTCATCTATGAATGTCATCCTTATCACCAACTTGGCAGCATTGTATTGGCTCATAGGTTTGCAGATGAATGGCCAACAGAGACTTTATGGAGCCTGGCTTGCTTCAATACCACCAGAGACCCCACCGTGGGCTACGATTACACTGGCAAGATTAACCTTTGGAACTTTGTCTAGAGAGAGATTGATTGCAGGATTTGGGGTGATGTGGGTGAGAGGGTTTGATGCAATGGGTCAGAGCAAATGGGGTCAGATTCACTGTGCATGGGCCGGCATAGATGCCACATAAGAAGTAAACGGAGGAGATAACATCTCACTTACTGCAGGGCTTTTTTGATCTTTAAAAAAATAGTTTAAGAAAAATATTATCTCATTCATTAATACAGGATGTTTAATGCTCTTCGAAAATAAGTATAGGTGTAAAAATATATTTTAACCTTAAAATATAATAATAATAATGATAATAATAATAATAACTTTTAATATCTCTCAAGTTTATTTATTGTTTTGTCATTTAAATTTATTTTTATCAATTTAGTCCTTTATATTTTTTTAAATTATTAAGTTAGTCATTTAAGTTTTAAAACACAAATTAACTTTCAAGTTATACTAATATGTAAGGAATGTGGATGATTGTACTTGTTATGTATATGTAGCTAAATGAAAATAAATTAGTTTTAGTTTTCATCAATATAGTTTGTTATGTTACATTTTGCTCTTTTGTTTTTTCTTTTTTTTTTTTAATTTCTAAGCCTTTATTTTCCCTGTCTAAGTAACTATACAACTTTCAATTAATTCATATAGTTACCATCAATATTTTATTATTTGTGTCAATAAATTTTATTAGTATGACTTTTTTTTTAAAAAAATTAAATAGATAATCGAAACATTTAAAAGACCAACTTAATAAAAATTAAATATGAGGGATCAAATCAGGAATTGAAACAAATTTGAATGATTAAAAGTTTCATTTATCCTTAAAATATGATAAAAAAACCTATTAAAATATGATAGGTGAAACTTGAACTTCATCTCTCACTGTTTTTATTTAAAGTGATAATGACGATATATTTTTTTAAAAAATGAAAGTAAAACTTGAAGACCAAGCTGAGGCTCTGAAACAGTATTAAATGAAACACCAACAATTGTGAAGTAGGGGAAACGTCACATAGCTGTGGTAGGGTGAGGAACTAGGAAGCAATATGTTAAGTAAAATCGGGGCTAGATTTTTTGTTTTCTAGGGAATATTTCACCGGGGACCTTAATCAAGAATAATTAAAAAGAAGATCCTTAAATATTTAAAATTTTATTAAAGAACCCGTACAGAATTTCATTTAAATTTATGATTGAAATAACAAAATTAATTTCATTTAAATAAACAATATAAACAACTTATTTCTTTTCAAACTACATGTTATTTATTTATTTCTAAAATATTATTCGTTTTTCTACTTTACTTGTTTATAGTCTTGATTTCATTTGATTTTATTTCAGGGTCATGAACAAGTGAAGTAAGTAAATAAATAACATTTCATAAATAAATAAATAACATATAGTATAAGAATGAGCAAGTCATCTTATCATAAAACCAACACTTAAAATGAAATTAAGGCTATAAACAAGCGAATAACATTTCGTAAGTAAACGAATAACAGACAATATAGGAATGAATAAATCGTTTATGTTGTTCATTTAAATGATGATAATTTTGTCATTTCCATCACAAATTTAACAGAAATTCTGTATTGGTCCTTCAGTGAAATTTTAAAAATTTAGAGATCATTTATTTTTTATTATCTCTGATCAAAGGTTCCTCACTAATTTTTTTTTTTCTAGGTGCAAGTGGTTTTTGAGGATAACCATTACCTTATTTAATTTTTTTTTATTTTTTTGCCAACTGCCTCATTTCAACTTAATATCTCATTTATGGGGATAGATGGTGACACAAATAAATGAAATGCCCACAACCGCTGTAAAATTAAGGCAAAGACGTTATGACTACCTATAGTAAAACTTTTATTTTTTTAAATTTGTTTTAATTATTGGTTTATTTTTCAATTTAATTTAAATTTTATTGATCTTTGGATATTACTATTATTTAAAAATGAGGTAATAACATTGAGTTGGCAGCTATACAAATTAATGAAAAGAAATATAATTATTTAGATAAAAAATCTAAAATTTTTTAAAATATAAAAGAAAACAAAAGAAAAAATCACACTTAGGTCCCACAGAATAAATTTAATTATTAAATTTTTTTATAAAATGTACAAAAATACTTTTAAAGATTAAATCATGTGCATTTATAATTTAGTAGAGAAAAATAACAATTTGATACAGGGAAACGATAACTTGGCACCTGGTTGCATGAAGGAATCCTAGCTGTGCACTTCGTACCTCTTGCATCAACAGCAAATAGGGCTCTTGGGTGTTTGGAACCGAATGTTACGAAATCGACAATAAAATCAAACTTAAAGGATATATTATTCTTTGCTTCTTATGTCAACAAATGAATGAATATTACGAAAATTGATCTAGAAAAAAGAATTCGTTTAACACAAATAATGTCCTGAAAAAATAACAATAAAATCCCCCTAATTATATATATAAATGACAATCTAATATTTTAAAATGTTATAATTTTATTGAAGTTCCTAGAAATTTTGTGTCAATAAATTTTAAATTGAAAAGATTATTTTACTTTTATTTATAAATTATGATTTCTTATTCAATTTTTATGATTCTTTGAATAAAAATTGTTATTCTTTAAACAAAAGTTATCATTGAAGTTTGCTATTTTAAAAACTTATTTTTTAATAATAAAAATTATACTTGATGAGTTGTGTTTTTTGTTCAACTCTTACTAATCGTAAAACAAAAGTAGTTATTTTTTAACCAAAAGTTATAATTCGGGCTTGTTATTTTTAATAAGGATAAAATGATCTTTTTACTTTAAAATTTATTAATACAGAAGTTCCTAAAAATTTCAATAAAATTATAACATTTTGAATGATTAATTTGTCATTTATATAATTTCAAAATATTTTATTGTTATTTTTTCTAATTTGATTCCTCTTATTATTTGTGTGCGCAATTTTGCATGAATGTGATTAAAGAAATGCAAGGAAGGTGAGAAGGTGTGGGAACAACTTAGTGCCTCTTATTTTTCCCTATGTGACAGGGTAACGCTTTTCAGTTAATTCATGATGGGATCTATGATGGGAATAGCATTTGTGCAGGGAAAGATATGATATTAAAATTATAGTTAATCTACCCTATTGAATCAGTAAATTATTAAATTAATATTTTAATTAATTTAATAAAATACTTTAATTATAAGCAATTTGCTTATAATTTGAGAATAATTTTAAAATTTAATTATTAAATTTATATCTTAATTGGTTGGTACCTTAAAAATAAAGACTTAAAAATGAAGACTAAAGACTAAAAAGTGTGTAAATGTGGCCACTGAAATTGGCAAAAGTACCCCCCGAAAAAAAAAAAAGTCATCACGTCCCCATGGGAGTAAAGAAGATTCGTATTGTGGACAAAATGCTTAATACTCAACATGGTACTCGCACCGACTTTATGTGATTTTTTTTTTTTGAATTAAAACTTTATATGATTTCCAAGCAACTTCTTCATTTGTGTCTTTTCTTATATTCCTATATTTTTATTTATAAATTATTTTTAATATATTTTATTAGAATTAAAGAAAGCTTTAAAACTCATTAATTTATCTTAAAATTTAATAAATTATCAACTTTACCCTCATTAAATATATATATTTTAATAATATTTTTTTAATATTCAATAGAAGATAAAAAAATTTGTATTGAAATTTAATGAGATGATTTATTAATAGAATAATTTTTTTTTTACTTTATAAATATGACGAGAGGGGATACTTTAGTTAGTTCATTCTCACTTCAAAATTGGCATTACAGGCGCATGAGATTCCCTTCCCTGTCTTCGGATTCCTACTAAACGTCCTCCTTTTGTCTTCTTGTCTTTTTTTTTTTTTGGGAAAATCATAGTGAAAGGCCTTTG